ATATTCGTTTTCGCTCTTTCTGAACCGAGCGACATCACTTTCATGCCAATTCATAAACTTTTTTGAAGGTGGGAGGGTCCCTTTAAGGCCTTGATTGAGCTCATTGGTGTCTATTATTTCGCACAGCAATCGTCCAGAGACGTGGGAACTGGGGTTTTTGGATAGCGCGGCGTCCCAACTTTAAGCAACTCTTACTGTTCCTCTAATGTGTGGTCGCAGCCACCAATAGCAAACCGTTCCATCTAGGAACAAATAAATCGCGCACCTATGACGGTTCGAACCGGGTTTCTCCAACCGGTCACCCTACGACGCTAGCGTGTATCCACTGAGCTGCCGAAACCAGCGACCACCCGCCGCGGTCAAACGCGATCAAATGTCACAATACTGTCATTGGCGGTCAGCGGGTGAACGTCATTTTGTTTTGTGCACACGAGGAGGATTCTCGGTAGCTCAGTGGATGAACGCTCGTGTCGTGAATTGGCCGGTGGGAGAAGCCCGGTTCGAACCCCCCTGAGTGGCCGACTTTTTAGCTCCTAGTTGGAACGGTTTGCTATTGGGGGCTGCGACCACATAATTATTAGAGCAACAGTAATAATCGCTTTAAATTGGGGTGCTGGCTGCGACACTACTCATAACCCCCTAGTTCCCACGTCTCTGGACGATTGCCGTGCGAAACAATAGACACCAATCTGCTCAATCAAGGCCTTAATGCTAATAACTATGTTATACAAAATATAGCTCCGCACCTCGATGTACGAGTGACATAAGTTCTATCGGCTGTCCCATTGCCACGCTTAAGTGTGTCGTAATGTGCATTGCAAGTATGATGATAGGCGCTGTCTTGGGGATAGAACATTTTAACAACTGCTTTAGCACAATTGTTAGGTAGAATAATTGGCGCCTTGAGACGCGAAAGTTAACTACACTCGCTCAGCCGCGCGATGGTCCGTGCTCCCACCCCACCTCACTCCCCAGCCCTCGCCAGCCGCCGCGCCGCGCCGACCCGAGCCATGCCTCCAGGCTCGGCCCTCACCGCTGCGCTGACGTCACAGGCGGCCCACATCGCCTTCCAGCCACCGACCCAGACCGCTGTCATACGGGTGGGTAGGCTGTGCCGCTTGACAAGTAAGTGAAGCGGCACAGTCTACCGGTACCAGGCGGCTGCTGCCAATGCTGAGCCATAGGAACCCGGTGGATAAAGAGTTGTAGAACATCAATCTGCCCCCGAGTGTACACCTACCTATAGATACGATACTTCATTTATTTATTTTTTTCTGTAACGCTACTCATATTTAAGAAACATATATTGCATAGAAATTATAGCATCAAACAGTTTCTGAATTAACAACTGTCACTCACCGAAATTGTCCGCTATCCGGAGACCCTTTCTTGTCTTCTCGCGACACATCACAATGCAACTGGCACGTGTCCGAGGTTTGGAGGTCAAGCCGTCAGCTGATTTCGCCCCAGGGTACCACAGGCCGCGCACAGGTCGGTGACCTTCCATGGGCCACGAAATCGTCACAACAGACAAAAGAATGAATGAGGAGTACTAGCGTCTACCTTTGGCGCACGCCAGGCAGGGCCTCGGCTAACATGTTAACTACTGGGCAAATGCCCCAGTAGAGTCGAGGAATGCCCCAGTAGTGGTCAGGCCTTGCCCAACCTCCACAAAATGAGAATATATCAACATTAACGTACATTCTTTCATTCGGGAGCGGTTGAAGACGTTTGTGGCAAGAAATCAGGGGCGGCGGAAGAGGGAGTGCACGGTGTGCAGCTGCACCCTCAATTTCAATCCAAAAACATTGGCAAACATATCTTTTTGCACCCCATAATCCATCTACGTTCGAAAGAGCGTCAAAAATAATGACGAAATAACCTCGGCCGCTTTTTTGGTCAGGTCAATGGACAGGTCATGGTGAAGGCCAAATTTTGCCTATTTTCAGGTCGAATATCGACAGTTTACAAGATGCCGACGCATAACTCGGGAATCAATTACAGCTACAGCACCGCGGAAAAGCGCATTTGATAGCCATATTAGCATGCTTTCTGGTTATTTCTCTTAGATTTGACCTAACGTCAACGGTTTTGCCTGCAAGGGGCAAAAACTACCAAAATAGACGATTTTTTGGGAACAGTTTTTCTGCAATAATTTTTGACTCGTGCCTTGCACGAGCTTTCTTTTACCGACATCGTGTTCCTCTCGTCAAGACGCATCAAATTAGCTACAATTTGACCTTTAAGGTCAACTTAAAAATTCGACCTCAGGTCAAGGTCACGATCTGACCGGAAATTGTCATGTTGCATATCAGTCGATCTGATCGTCGAGCCAAACACAACTAAGGTATTTTCATCGCTCTAGCATGCATCTTTCAAAAGTTATTCGCGAAAAACTGTTAGATACCATTCGTGAACTGAGATTACCTCAGTGGCATAAGTAAGGGTCACGGGTGCTATTTTCATGTTCAGTGTGTCAAAGTCACGTACGGTGTTTTATAGTCTTTAGAAAACGACTTTCGTCCAAAAGAGGTGGTTTTGAATTTTCTTCCATTGACTTCTAATAGAGGTCGCAAAATTGAGCTGACCTTAGGTCACCGATATGAAAATTCCGACATATAAATTTTGTACATGCTGTTGCCCTATCAATCGCTGAAAGTTTCAAAGCGATCGGTCACTCGGTGTAGCTACGGCATACCTACATTGAAACATTTTATGAAGTGAGGTCACTTGAAGTGACCTGGTGACCTGATCTTGAATGACCTTGATCTGAAATTTTTACAACACGTGTAGAATTGTTGGATGATGGAGCGCCGCCGCTTTTGAGATATCCGCGAAAAAAAAAACACAGGAAAACCGCAGGTGTTCAAACACCTCCCCCCCCAGCAGGGCGCCAACGGCAACACACGTTAACGATTTGCCCCAGTAGTCAAAATTCCTTAGCCGAGGCCCTGACGCCAGGGCCTGTCCTGGCTCAGCAGGAGTAGACATGACACATTCCAAAAAAGTGTCCACCCTCAACACCGGCGCACCCAGGCGCAGCTGAAATTTACAGGGCATGTAGACAATTTCTTGGCCGACAGTGTGGTGCTAGTACGAGACCGTACACTAGCGTACAATTTTTTGTAGGCCTATCATAACATAAGCATTTTTCAAAAAAGTGTGACAATGTAAGACCTGACGGCAATCAATAAAAGAAACACTTTTGTGCAATATAATTATATGAATGATGACTCATTTAAAACACAAAAGTTTGGGCTATCATTTGGTACCCGAATTAAATAGTTTCGTCACTGCAAAGCTCGAAGATGTTGACATGAAACAAGGCGACTGTTTCTGCGTTTGTTCGACGAAGTATAGCTTGTGAGAGTTGTCTGACTTTGTTGCACATTTTCGATGCTTTCAAAAGTAAAAAGAAAAAAAGTTCCTGTCGTTTAAGATGCGCTGATCATTTTTGAACACGATAACCGTTAAATGAAACGCATTAAAAATAGTCGATATTTCGCCCCCTGGCCAGTTTTTGGCCAGAGTTAAAACACGGTGCAGCGGTTCAGCCGGGAGGGCTGGTGGTCCGTCTTGCCCCGCTGGGCCGTCTTACCCCACCTTCCCCTACTGTGGGCAAAATGGCGTGAATAGAATTACCATACTATTCTCTTTATAAGATTGCGTGAATAGGGTGCCGTAAATAGAGTGGCGTGGAATGATAGTACGGCATTTGGTAGCACAACCTTTATAAGATTGGGCCCTTGGCCCAATCTTATAAACGCCGTGAAATGGATATGGCAGCACTCTAAGGCTGGATATATCATAGATATAAAAGACTAGATGGGACATTGGCAGTGTTTTAGTGCGTGCGACTGGCCGCCATGTTTGTGAGGGCGGGAATCTGCGGCGCTGTGTAAACACTACGGGAGGAGGGGGGTATTTGAGACTGATTTTGTGGTATTTTTCGACCAAAAAGTGCTAATCTTTTTTGCTCACGGCATTCTTTGGAATGTGTAGATTGTGGAACAATTGCTGAAATATGCTTATCTATTGTAATTTGGCTACGTTAGCCTTGACATGTTGCACTGTCGACGCTGATGAAGAATAGGCGGCACCAAAGGTAGATTTGCTTGGCATGCCTGTTTTAGATTTAATTCAGTTCCCATGTTTTTTTTTTGTGCACACCACAATCCTTTAATTATTCTTGCATGGATAGAGCATCAGTCATATGATTTTTCACAAAGAAAGCTTACCTAGATAGGTACCAGAACATTGGCAGCGGAAAGCAGACTCATTACCTACACTTGCTTTGCCTGCTCACTTTCTACTGTTGCCTTCAATGGACAATATTTATGAAGTAAGAAGGTTTTATGATTATAGGTTTTAAATATGTACTTTACTTAATGTCATCAGTTAGTATTAACTAGTAGTTCAGTGCCAAACGAAAAATCCATGCACTATGCCAGATGCCTCGGGGGCTCTTATCCGCTCTGGGTTCAGAGTGCAGTGGCATACCACGCTCACCCTCAACCAGAGCTGATAGATAGTGAAAATGCCAGACGTCGTGATATCTGCACCAGTGAACCGTGTCGCACATTTGATCCCAATAATGAACAGCACAGGGGTGACGTAAAAATGTGCGTTAGTTGGAGCACCTAAACTCAGATTGTCATTACCTAATTAGTTTTCACATTGTAAAGCTTAAACTACACTTCATGCTCTTTTGGCTCACCTGTTATCAGTATCAGTAAATAGGGTATTAGTAAATCTGGCGTTACCATCAATGGTAAGTGCTAACAAGTAAATATGATGTCCAAGGAAGATAAAAATCATAATCTTACTTGACCTAACCTTACCTACTAACCTAACTAACCTACAAACCTCAACCTACATACAACCTCCATACCTACAACCTACCCACCTACAACCTACCAACCTTATATGTGCCGACGGTGGCACCAGATTTATGGATACCCTTATTTGTTAGGTACTTCACTCCACTTCTCATTTTATTTGAAGTTCATTTAAATTATTGTATTTAAGTCTGTGTAAACTATTATTTTAAAAACCTGATGCTTTTCCATGACTGTAATCTCACTGTTTGCTATGTGTATTTTGTAGTGTGTACTGTGTGCAAATCCAGTATCCTACACTTGTATGCTACAGGCCTTGTTTTGATCTGACTAACTGTTAATATGTTTCAGCTTTAAAGACTAGTATCTTTTGAAATTGAAATTTGCCTCTCAGTCTCTCAAGAATCAAGATGCCAAATAGATGTGCAGGATTTGATTGCTGACAAACCAGGGATGAGGCTCAAGAGTCAAGAGATCACCCTGCATTGGCAAGTAAAAGCTACAGACTCTTGATTTTTTATATTGTTACAGGTTATCTGTCACCGAGAGCGATTGCCGTAGTTCAATTTCTTGCATCAAAATTGGCAGAATATGACTTCACTGATCACTCTGACGTCATTTACGGCCGACCTATGGTAGCTACACAATTTTTATTTCTATAAAATGTTTGAGATTGATGCAGCCGAAGGTACTGCAAGTTCCGTATTGACACGTCTAGTGGTTTAGAAATATTGCAACAAATATATATTTCAATTTTTTCAATATATAAATGTAAATATTTTATTGCAGAAAACAGGGAGAGGGGCTCTGTAGAGCCCCACCCTCCAGTCATGCGTGGGTAAAGGCCCATCAGTCACTAAAACCAGAATAAGTGCAAAAAATTATTACCAAATGCCCGGAGACTGCTTTACCATTGCCAACATGTGTGTGTGTGTGTGTGTGTGTGTGTGCGTGTGTGTGTGCGTGTGCGTGTGTGTCAACAATGTGTTAACAACAAATACAACACTTGTGCCTGGCGTATGTTAACACTAAACACTATTAGCCATATTTTATTGATACTAATCGAACCTTCCAGGTGGCTGGAACAACCCCAGTGCCGCACAGTTCTGCGGGATATTCCGGCACCTGCTCCACCGCTGCGGCGTCCGGCCCGGCAGCACAGGGAAAGTGGCAGCCCTCGACCCGACCAGCATCCTGGCAGTCGGTCACACGACCAGCGGACGGGGAGCCAGCCTCACTGCCTCGGCCTCCACCACCTCAGACAACGGTGCCACGGCACTCCACATCATCACGGAGCACGACTTCCAGCCTGGGCTGTCGTCTGGTGGGCAACATCGTCACCTACATCGCAGGGTTCGTGGTGAAGAAGGCGCTCGACTCTGTCAGCTGTAGCACCTGTCAGGAGGCCCTGGTGAGCGACATCCAGCCGGACGACATGACACAGCTTTACCACCTCTTCATCATCTCTGCCAGATGAGCTAAGGTGGGGACGGGTTACATGCCTGGGATCTGACTGAGACCCGCTCATACCCTGCCGAAGTGTTGGTGATTTCAGCGGTCAGCTGTCTCTAGCCGGTGTCAGTGAGTCGCGGCCAGCTGCCGCTGGAGTGGGTATGTTGCAGGCACTTTAGAAAATCAGTCATTTTGTAAAATGGCTAGGTATTTTGCAAAATGCCTGATTTTCCAGGCTTTTTGCAAAAAGCCTAGGCATTTTACAAAATGACTGACTCTCCAGTCATTTTGCAAAATGCCTAGGCATTTTACAAAATACCTAGCCATTTTACAAAATGACTGAGCAGCGTGTTGTAGATACGAGTACCTAATTATATACATTTTGGTAGCGTGTAGGTGGACCGAGGAGTCCAGCATTATGACCAGAGGAGTCCAGCAGTGGGAAGTCCATACCTACCTCTATTTTAAGAAGTGCAGGCCCGCGACATTTCCAACCCCCCCGTCAGCGACGCTGCTGGATTTAAAATGATCGATCTGGAGCGTCAACAAACGACTGGCCCTATGCCGGCCTGTATCTGTAGACTGTAAAACTATTAGAGGTCGCGAGGATTCGATCCCACACACTTAGGCGTTAGTGTCTTCTGAAACCAACGCTCTCGTCCTACGCCAAGCGACCTGATCATGATTCTCCCGATGTGGAGCTTGATATTTTTAACTGGAACCATGCAAGTAGGTACTCAAAGCTGTTGCCACAGAACAAAATTAATCGTGTTTTGTTAATTATTGCTTTAATATTCATAGTGATCAGAGAGCTTTTTTATTCCAAAGAAAAGTTAGGAAGAAAACCTAAACAATAATACTGTAAACAATGGCGTGGACTAGGCCTAGGGTAGACTTGTTGAAGTTCCTTAGAGCCAATGAGCGCTGTCCAGTCAACTGAGGAGGGTCGTTACTCAGCATTGTCGTCATCACAGAGCTTCAAATCGATCAGCTACAGGCTGAACACGTACCTATATGGGTATAGGAAGACGTCCAAAAACTGTTGGCCATGTATCTGTAGTGGGATCTACGTTCCATGCTGGTCAGGCATTTTGCGAAATGCCTAGTCATTTTGTAAAATGGCTAGCCATTTTGAAAAAAGCCTGGTTGCGTTCAGTCATTTTTCAAACAGCCGTCTTTTTGTAAAATGCCTAGGCATTTTACAAAATGACTGATTTTCTAAAGTGCCTGCAACAGGTATATACCGTCGATAGCTGCTGTGTGGCGGATAGCGTGGATTTGGATGGACACTTCATATTAATGAACAGATCAATGTCTGGCCGATAAAAGACGTATTTTGTCGATGATTGCTTAGTGACTGAGTGGGTCCACTGGCGACCAATGCAGTGGGCGCTGGGTTAACGCCTCGCCTCTTGTGACCGTGTCGATATGTAGCACTGTTAATTGCCGATTCGTTGCCGGCCGTCTCTGCTCCGTGGCTGGCTGATCCGGCACAAACTGGTGTTCGTGGCTGAAGGCGCGGCTACAGTTACACTAGCTCGCCACGTGCCTGTGCGACTATCGTCGGTGCTGTCTGCAAGGGCGATGTCGGTGCCTGTAGGGGGCGCGGATTGATTCAAAGTGAGGAATGGGTCATCGGAGCTCGGGTCAGGTCATGTTCGGCTAAAATAAGCGGATTTTGCGATTTGCCGCATCCGGTTGAATTTCCTTGCCTTCTAGTGCATGTTTATGCATTTTACATGCGTTTTTTAGTGTTGTGTGTGTTTTTAGTGTTTTTAGTGTGTGGATGTCAGACTGTGTCGTCATTCCCGCGTCCCTTTGTGTCGGGGCGCGGCCCCGCGCGGACTGCGCGTGCGCGGCCTGCGCGCGCGCGCTGACCCGGCGAGTGTCAGTCGGTGTCGGGGACGCGGCCGGGGTGCGGCTCCGCTGGAGTGCAATATAGACGTCGGTGCAGGACATCTGTGTGTCGAGCGGCAGCGCGCGAGAGCATCACATGGCGCGGTCTGTTATCGACCTACTGTGGTGATCGAGTCGGCAACAATGAGTCAGGAAGGTGTAGACAAGTTGACGGCTCTGCTCGTCAAGCAGGCCGAGATGGCCGCAGCCGCCCAGGAGCAGGCGTCTCAACGGGAACAACGTCTCGCGGGGATGGTCGAGCGACTACTGCAGGATCGCCCGTCGGAATCACCCAGGGAGGTAGCGACTACTGGTAATGTACCCAGTCACGCCTCTGTCAGCAAGCCGTTGGTCAGTGCCCCATATTTGAACTCCTCCGTGTCACTGCGAGAGTTCGATGCGTGGCGGCAAAAATTTGAAGGGTACTCGCTGCTGGCTCGTGTGTCGCTGCTTCCCCCCGCCGAGCAGCGGGCTGCTTTGTTAGCCGTTGTAAGCGATGATTGGACTCGGATAATCCGGTATAACCTTTCTGTCTCAACAGAAGCTAGCCTGAGTGACGTCATCAAGGCAATGGAGGAGTACCTTCGGGGGCAGCGAAACGTCATCGTGGACAGACGGGATTTCTACCGCCGCAACCAGGAGCCCGGTGAGACGTTTGATGACTTCCTGTGTGCTATCAAAGAGATCGCGGGGTTTTGCGATTTTTGCACTTCGTGCCTGGATAATCGTTTGAGAGATCGTATCGTAACTGGGATTCGAAACGAAGATACCGTAAAACGCTTGCTTGAAGAGAAAAACCTGACGCTGCAAAAGGCCGTTGATATGTGTCGTGCTTGTGAAAATGCCTCCAGAGACAGCGTCGAAATTCGTGGCGCTTCCGCGCATTCCCTGTACAAGATGTCCCAGTACAAGCAGGACCAGAGAGGACGGAGAGGGCATGATCGCGCTCGCCCCTCTTCCCGGGAGCGGGAGAGGCACTCCGTCGACCGGCGGGTCACTCCATCCCCGGTGTCGCGGGAGCGGACCCGCTACCGCTCGCCATCGCCTGCGGTCAGATGTGACCGGTGCGGACGCCGGCCCCACCGGGACGTCAGCCTCTGTCCGGCGGTGAGTCGCAGGTGCAATGCGTGTGGATCGAAAGGTCATTTCGCTAATGTATGCCGCCAGGACGCTGCCATCAGTCAAGTGCGTCACTCTCATCAGCCTCGTCTGAGATCGGACTCGCGGCGCACTCGCGACGTCAGCCCGACCGGTCACAGCCCGAGGCGCCCTCGCGACGTCAGCCCGACCGGCCACTACCTGCATCCAGTGAACCACGATGCGGAGCCTCAGAGGATGCTGCCTCGTCGAAGCGGTCGGGCTCGTCGGGAGCCCAACCGCTTGTCGGTTCGGTGGGGATCTGCTACGTACGTTGATTGAATGAGACGCCCGGTGCCGTCGCCTCTTCTGCTGGTTGCTGTATTTATTGCGGGTATCTGTTTTGTGTCGCGTGCGTCGCGGTGCGTCGCGTTCCTATGCATCTTGCGGCAACTAATTTAGGTCGTTGTCTGTTGTTCACGCTCGGCGACGGGGGCACGGGTCGTCTGGGGGGGAGGTGTGTGGATGTCAGACTGTGTCGTCATTCCCGCGTCCCTTTGTGTCGGGGCGCGGCCCCGCGCGGACTGCGCGTGCGCGGCCTGCGCGCGCGCGCTGACCCGGCGAGTGTCAGTCGGTGTCGGGGACGCGGCCGGGGTGCGGCTCCGCTGGAGTGCAATATAGACGTCGGTGCAGGACATCTGTGTGTCGAGCGGCAGCGCGCGAGAGCATCACAGATAACGTGCATTTGCCTCGAGGTCAAGGCTGCGCTTCATATGGGCAGTTTTCGGAGCATCTTGCTCATTTTATTCGTAATCCTTAATTATGTTTGCGGATTTGTGCCCGCAAATCATTTTTTAAAGTAAGATTGACACGGGATTCGAGATCGGCGCCCATAAATACACTTCACATGACCCGCCATGTGTCGAGGCCATCCGAGGTCATCTAAGGTCGCTGACCTTGTATGACCTTATGTGACCCGGTTCGCTAGATTTCGAGATGAGGTTGATTGGGAATGATGTAACCCATTTCGCCGACAGTTCACGCGTTTTGGTCGATTTTATAGCGAAAGATCTCAAACTCCAGTGACTTTACTGGTTCGATTTCCAGTGTTTGACCTGACCTCTGAGTTCACCCGTTGACCTAGTACCCTGAAATTTGGTATCACTGGTTTACTCACATCGCGGACAGCATACCTATTTTTTTCCGTTCTTGCTCCGTCGAGGGGCGAACGGCTGGAGTTCACTCCGTTCACCCTGGCTTCCCCTACTCGTAAGACGCTGACAAACTACGAACGGGTGAGGGCTAAAATTGCACTTATTGTCGATCATTGTCCATTGCATACTGCATACATAGATATAAAGTATGGTAGCCATAATGGGAAACGAATTTAATCTTAAATTAGCATGCCAATTGCATCTACCTTCGGTGCCGCATATCCTTTATCAGCGTCTTTAGGGCTATATGTCTAGGGCTGATGTAATTACATTACTATAAATACACATATTTCTGCCCTTGTTTCACAATCTACTCATTCCAAAGAATGCCATAGGTAAAAAAAGATTAACACTTTTCGGTCGAAAAATACCACAAAATCTGTCCCAAACATCCCCCTCCTCCCATAGTGTTTACACAGCGCCGCAGATTCTCGCCCTCACCAACATGGCGGCCGCTGCTACGTATTCGCGAGTCGCTCCCGACATGGGGGTGCCCTATCTAGTCTTTATATCTATGGGATATATAGTACGCAATCTTATAAAACTCTGTGAAATCGTAAACACGGCACGCTCTTTACGGCACTGGTAGCCGCCGGTTTTGAGGATGCTGCAGAATGATTTTAACCGTGAGCAGCTGTGCACATCTCAAAACACCGACAATTATCAGCTGTTTGCGGTTTCAGCGGCGTCCATTTCACGCCAGAATTTGTGGCGTACTTTGACGAGCTTCTCAGACAGTTCAAATGATTTAAGATAAATTCCATGTTATTATATAAGTATACAATATTTTACATTGATGTTTTAAAGATTAAAACATACTCCACATATTAACTCATGATTTATTATAATGATGCTTTATTATACAGACAACGATCAATTTCAAAATATGTATTTCCAGGAACTAAATGCACACTTAAACACATAAAAACGAGTGTTCATCGATATATGGCTTTATTTTTCAAAATTAAAAGGGGATTTTTTAAGAGGATTTTAGCACCAGTAACCGTCTTCGATTTTCGGCAGCCACTGCATTATAGAATCGGTTTGGGTCTTAAGCCTATTCTCACGTCTCACGTATGACACAAATAACGGGCACTTATGACTAGATAAGTGAAACTTTTTTAAATATAAAGGTACTGTATTATAGAAAGCCTTCGCAAACGCGTTTCGATTATATCATCTTCAGTGCTGCTTCAGCACTGAAGATGATATAATCGAAACGCGTTTGCGAAGGCTTTCTATAATACAGTACCTTTATATTTAAAAAAGTTTCACTTATCTAGTCATAATTGTCACAATGAACGTTCAACGGGCACTTCATGGCTTCTGATTAGATATTTAAATTAATGATGACATACCTTAGTTTGTCAAAAAATTGTAAATGCCTACTCACTATTCGTATCTCCTCACTTTCTGTCTGGCACAGTTACGGATCCAAGGCCATCTATAGAAGGTACAGTCACTCCCCCGCCGACCAATCAGAGACAGATCCTGAGTGACGTCATCCCTGATGCTCGCAAGGGGTACTCCATTCCTTAACCCTATTCCTGGCGGGGGGCCTCAGGAGCCCCCCCCTGAGGTTTTTTGGTTTTATCTCCCAAACGCGTTGAGCTAGGAAGCTCAAATTTTCCGACTTTTCCTAAAAGGCTTCTACGCAACATGTCTGAAAATTTTGAGTTGATCTGACCTCAGGTCAGGTCACCAGAGGCGGTTTGGTGACGCTACCTCAGAAAAGTTTGCAATCACGCCAGAGCTAGAGTTTTTGACCGATCAATTTCTTCTCTTCAGGGTTTAGTTAGGGTACCAGTATGTGCAATTTGTATATCTCGGAATTTTGATATCGGTGACCTAAGGTCAGGTCAATTTCGCGACCTCCCCATTATAAGTCAATGGGGGAAAAATCAACTCCCTGTTTTTACCACTAAAACGGGTCGGAATGGCCCCATATACCATACATGACTTCATATACGATCAACCTTCACTACCTTGAGGTCTGTTTTGCTGTTGGGCAGCTGTGAGGTCATGTGACGTCATCAAAGGTCACCAAAGGTTTTTGGCCAATAACTCCGTACAGGAACAAGATACAGACGCGTGGATGGTCTCATTGTGTTCAGCTCGTCAAGACGCATCGAATGATATACATGATGACCTCTCGAGGTCACGTGACCTGAGGTCAACCTTTGACCTTGACCTTTCGAGGTCAACATATATATCATTCGATGCGGATTGACGAGAGGATCACGATGATGCCCTTAGTTTGTTCCTATCTTGACTAATTCGAAAGTTATTCGAGAAAAACTCTCTCCATATCTAGTGCCGCCATTTTGACTTTTTCGACCCCTGTGACGTCATCTTTGACCTGACCTGAAAATGACCTTAGTAAAAATTGTAGATCTTGGCCGTGCGTATCCGATGCCGTTTACCGCTTGTCGCTATCTTGCTTCGTTCTCGAGATCTCAGGGGGGGGGGGGGGCCGAATCGGCCCCCCCCCGCCAGTTTCTTGTCCCGGCGGAGCCCGCCAGGAATAGGGTTAACAACGTAAAAATGACAAACTTCATTTGAAGATTATTGATGGTACTTTTCACATATTGCTCAACCGTTGATGTCACACGAAAGCCCAACTAATTTTCTAGCGACAAAAAAGAGCAGCAATATGCTAAAAAATGGCCGGTTTTGAAGATATAGGCGATTTAAAAACCCTCTGCAATAGCAGAAAAGCAACGTAAAAACGCATCGAGCTTATATTTTTACTATAAATAAATCATTTTTCAGTATGTTTTTAGATAACGTATTGATATGATTAACAAGTTTATTACAATATTTTTTATTATCTGTAGCTTTATTTCAAAATAATATTTTCAAAAATGACAGCTGTTGGCAGAAGCTTGGAAGCGATTGTGGCGCACCACGCCATTATTGTCTTGAGGCCCCCTTATGATGTCATCAAAAGTGGAGTGACATGGGCCTGTACGGATCAATCTGTTGTTTCTCTTCCTGCATCTCGATCTGACTTCTGAGGATTTTTCTTGATATAGCTTTGATATGTAGACTGGCTTCTTTTGAGGAATTGCTTTTTACCTTTAGGTTAGGTAATAGGTACCTATGCTTGAATAAAAAGGAAAATAAGCTGTAACTTGACCTAATTCAGTTCATGTATATAATCTTCGAATTTTAGTAGCTTTATCTTCAAGAAGGAAAATATCAAGAGCTTATGACAAGAACGAAAATAAGCTATATCTTGAATTGATCCAGTTAATGTAGGTATCCTAATGCTCATATTGTAGGAGCTTCATTGTCAACGGTATTACTTCAATTACTGAAGCAGTAGCCGAGCTATGATAAAATCATTATTTAAATAATTCTTTAACAAATTCATTGCAATGCCTTAACAGCAAATAAATGCAAATGATAAG